TTTACACCCTTGAAGTAGTAACATACAAATTAAACTCCTATGAGGTTAAGGGACTGTACAGTCATAAAAAAAAATTATGTTATTCAAGATTTCAAGTCCTTCCTTTATGGCTTCTTGCAAAACTTCAGCATGTTCACACATTTTTATAAGCCACTGGAAAAGAATCACTCAGAACCTCATATTGGAGAAACAGCACTAAGAACAGTGAGGGAAAACAGTAACATTTTCCTACCTGATTTCAGGATAGATTCTCATCCCAGGGATCACTCCAAGGTCTCCTGATAGAAGAATTCTGTCCAGAACACCCAAAGAGATCTGGGGTAGAAAACATGCATCATGGCCGAAGGGTTACTTATATCAACCAACACCTGGGGGGAAGTGACCGCACCCCTCAGCAGGTGGATACAAACTAATCAGTAGAGGATGGGGCTGAAGGCCAGATCCTGAGCAGCTCAGGCCTCTCTTGTTAACTCATTAAGGCAGGAGGAGGTGGGAGCTGGGTAAATACATTGATTTACATAAAAATTGAGTGAGGAAAGGAGTAGGGTGTTCCTCACTGTGCCAGGTGCAGCAGGACAAGGTGCTGATGCACCATCACTCCAAGGAAAAAAAAAAATAACACAGTGCTCACGTTGCTTGAGTTTAAAGGGGGAAGATGCACAGAATTCCTCAACTTTTGTGGGAGAAGGGAAAGTGCTGGGGAATCCTGAGGTACTGAGGAGAAGAGCAGTAGATCTCGGGTAATCATTCAAGGCTGAACGACAACAGAGAATCATGGAACATCCTGAGTTGGAAGGACCCACAGGGATCACTGAGTCCAGCTCCTGGCCCTGCACGGGGCACCCTAAAAATCCCCCCTGTCCCTGAGGGCATTGTCCGAATGCTCCTTGAGCTCTGGCAGCCTTGCCCTGGGCAGCCTGTTCAGTGCCCAGCCACCCTCTGGGGGAAGAACTTTTTCCTGAGATCCAACCTAAACCTGCCCTGACACAGCTCCAGCTGTTCCCTCGGGTCCTACAAGGTTTATCTTGCTTACTGCGTTTGGGTTTTCTACACCATTGCATAAAACCTGCCCTCTAAGTGGCTTTTTGTTCAAACTACTGACTCTACATGGGGTAAAGTTCAGCAGGAGTAGAAAAATATATGGCTGCAAACCAAAATTCTTCTTTTTTCTTAAGTTCTCACACAATTTTCATAATCACCCTCACAGACATTTGCCTCTGTTCTTGTTCCCACATCAATACTTCTGAAAAGTGTCTGTGGAATGACAAGTACAGTCGTTCCATCTCTAGAAAGCAGCAAATCAGCTGAAATGTTGAGAGCTGGAAGCTGTGAAATTCCACAGAATTGCTTTTCTAAGAAAAAAAACTTCATTGAAATGAAATGGTGGCAATTGCTGCAGTTTGTCTCCAATGCACATTTTCTCCCAGTCACATCCAGCCCAGAGTAGGCTCTTTGTCTACAAAATGTTGCTCTTTTACAGTATGTATAAAAAAAAATGAAAAAAAAAAAAAGTAAAATAGCGCCCTTGCTTTTTAATATCCTCAAAAAATGATGCATAAGGTTTTTGGGGGCAAAGAATTGCTTAACTGTTTCATTAATGTACAGCTGAGTTCCTACCTGGTTATTTCAATGAGAACTTTGCATTTAGGACTCACATATCTTTCTGCTGTTACACATTTTTATGCTGTTTGTTTCATTGCACTAAATATCAGGCAATTCGTTTCACCCACTCTGAATATAGAAGCAATCCCCCTCAATCATAACTTAAAGAGATGTGCATGAAAGAGTAGCAGCAGCACAGTAACAGAGCCCAAAACCTTCATGGCACTTCACAGCACTGCTGTGTCCCACTATCAGCTTTCCTACTCACTGCCCTTACACCAAAAATCCAGATATTTCAGTTTTCCATCATTGCTCCTGGTTGAACCAGCAGCAGAACTGTCATGGCTGTTACTACAGTTGCATGCACTTGGCCTTACCAGAGATCAAACCCAACACTTGGCTGTGGTAAAGAAACAAAAAATCACAAAATCCTAGACTGGTTTGGGTTGGGAGAGAGCTTAAAGCCCATCCAGTTTCACTTCCTGGCATGGGCAGGGACATCTTCCACTGTCCCAGGTTTCTCCAAGCCCCATCCAACCTGGACTCTGACACTTCCAGGGATGGGGCAGTCACAGCTTCTCCAGGGAACAATCCATAATCTAAATTCCTTTATGTTTTTAAATCAGTCTCTATCTGAACTTAAGGCCAAGAATGTTAATTCAGCTGCACTAAACATCAGGAGATCAATATTAAGTGTTTCCAATTGGCTTTATTCCTCTGTCTAAAACCCACTAGAACAAAGACCTACAGCATGTTCAGCTCACACAGTGAAAAACAATCCGGAGGCATGGCCATAACCTTGATATTCCAAATGAACTCTATTAATCTCTCTTTATTTGCCCTTCCACTGTTCCTGGTAGTAGACACCATCAAGCAATTATAAATAAGGAGCAGAACACAAAGCTTTACTTTTCCCATTATTTTCCTTTCTGTGTTTTTTTCTGACCTTTGATTGTGAAGAGTCCTACTGATGCTCTCAGTGTGGGTTGACAGCTGGGTAGGTATTTGTAATTCTTTAATGAAAATAAAGAAAAAGACTGAAGCATAAGGAAATCTCATTGTAAAGACATAAAAGCTGGCTCTAGGAATATTTTTAGTGACCTGAAGGTGCCCTCCAATCATTTTTAAGGCTGACTGTATTTCCAGTTGATTGCATCTATTCATGAGTGTGGAGGGATAAAAATACACAACACTTTTATTGTATTTGCCAGACATGTCCCTAAAATCTCTTCCTTTGCTCTACGAGATGAAGCTTTACAAAATGTATTATATCATTTGTAGCAGGAGGTTGGATGCAAATACATCAAGCATTACATTTTTAAATGACCTGAGAGAAGGAGTATGGGAAGTAATCCATTTAATCCATTGTGAAACAGTTGCAGTCATCATTTTCTGCAGACTTATGGGATTTCCCTAAGATAATCAGTAAATTGATTTATACCCTTGCACAGGTTCAGAGCCTGGCTTAGTGGGAAAATCAGCACCACTTTGTGTCTTGGTTTGTTCTCAGTTTGATGAGAAAAGAAAACAGGAGGTGAGTGATTGTAGCCTAAGTGATGAAAAGGATCCCTAAAGTTTTTGAATCTAATCAGAGAATACACATCTTTCTTATTCTAATCAGTAATTACTACATCTTCACTGAGTTTTGAATGGCCTCCAACAGGTGCCACAGCTCAAACACCTGAGAGAAGTTATCAGAAACCAGCTTTAAGTGGCACCTGCAAATCCTTTTGCAAGCAAATAAAAGCAGCACAGCCATTGCTCTTCCATACGGGTTATATAGTTAGGAAACCAGTTTTCCTGGGGCTGTTTGAGCCCTGGTTGCGCTGGGAGGCACCACCCAGGTGTCTGTGTGTTCTGGATTTTTATTTCTATTGTTTTCCCTGGGCTGTAGCTTTGAGTCTGTTACAGCCATCCATTGCTTCAGTCTATTTGTTATGCTGGCGTGTTTTCTCACTGCAGTGATGGTTTTATTCTTTCTTATAAAAGTGTCTGAGGTATTTGTGTGTCTTTATTGACTATAAAAGAAGTTTAAGTGGTGTGACTAAAGCATCTGAGCAATGGATGGTTGCATCAAGGTGAAATAAAACACTCGTGGGGTATTTATAGCTCCCAGGTTACAAATACACTTGCTCTAGAGGATCTGAGATTAAAAGCCAAACAGTGAAAGCTATGCTGTTGTAACTTTTGTTGGGGTTGGTCTGGGGGATTTTTGGGTAGAGTGGTCTCTCGAGTACCTGTATCTGTAGGAAATACCCAGGATGAGGAGGAGAGCTGGAAAGATGTGTTTCTTAGAGGAGTTAATGTCATGTGTAAGCTCTGTGCTGATCCCATGGGATCTAAGAGATATGTCAGCCCCACCTGCCTCTCTGGATGTTGTCTGGGAAGGTGCTCTGAGTCCTGGGCTGCATCCAAAGGAGTGTGGCAACTAGGATGGAGGTGATTCTGCCCCTCTGCTCTGCTCTTGTGAGACCCCACCTAGGTCCCTGGGTACAGTTTTGGTGTCCCCAGCATGGGAAGGATGTGGAACTGTTGGCACCAGTCCAGAGGAGGCCACGAAGTTGATAAGAGGAGTGGAGAACCTTCCCTATGGAGAGAGCTGGGGCTAGTCAGCCTGGAGAGGAGAAGGTTGTGTGGAGACCTCAGAGCCCCTTCCAGTCTGAAGGGGCTACAGGGAACTGGAATGGCAGGACAAGGACTAATGGGTTCGAACCGGGAGAGGGGAAATTTAGGCTGGGTATTAGGAAGAAATCATGGGCTGTGAGGGCAGTGAGGCTCTGGCACAGGTTGCCCAGAGAAGCTGTGGCTGCCCCATCCCTGGAAGTGTCCAAGGCCAGGTTGGACAGGGCTTGGAGCAACCCGGTCTAGCGGAAGGTGTCCCTGTCCATTGCAGGGGTGGGACTGGATGAGTTTTAAGGACCTTCCCAACCTGAATCATTCTGGGATTCTATGAAAAAAGTAAAAATTCATGTAGTTTATTTCATTCTCCCCTAATTGACAATGAGGTCAAAGCTTCACAAACAGAAGGAGTTTTATTGACATCCACTCAGTCTCCAAAGGGGCTGCCAAGCCCCACCTTCACCTCTGGAGCGGCTCGGACATGAGGTGGGGCCAGGTGTCATAGCATGGTAATTACTGTTAAGTAATTGGCTGTGATTATTTGATTACTGTTCGGTGTTACCGCTCATCGCTGTTGGGTAATTAACGCCTGTGACGGCGCTCGGGACGCGACCGGGGCAGGAACCGAACCCGCGGCCACTCTATCTCCCCGGGCCTGCCCGCCGGGACGTCACGCGTCACGTGCCCCCGGCTCGCCCAATCTGCGGCCGCCGGCGGATTCGAACGGCGGCGGCCGTTGGAGGCTCGTGTCGGGCGGGCCGGCAGGGGGCGCTGTGCCCGCCCGGGGCCGGCGGACGGGCCGCGATGGCGGGGCCGGGACCGGGACCGTACCGCGCCACCCGCCTGGTGAGCACTGGGGAGCGGGGCGCGCCGGGGGCTGCGCCGGGGGAGCGGGCGGCTGCTGGGGGGGGCGCTGTGGGACGGGAGGTAGCTCTGCCCCTTCTGGCTGCTGTCGTGACACGTGGGTGTCCTGGGACCCTCTGCCCCCTGTCGTGACATATGGATGCTCAGAGACACCGCCTGCCACGGCGTGTGGGTGCTCTGGTGTCCAGTGCCCACTGTCACGCCATGTGGGTGACCAGGGACACTCCCCCCTTGCCTGTTATCACGATATAGGGGTACATGTCGTGACATGTGGGTGCCCTGGAACAACCTTTGCCCACTGTCACGATATGCGGGTGCGCTGCCTCCCCCCCAACCCCGTGCCATTGATACTCGCAATACTCAACTTGAGGCTTTAACTTGCAAATCTTGTCTGGTTTGTCTCCCCTGCAGTGGAACGAGATCACCAAGTACTTCCGAGCGGGAATGCCCCTGAGGAAACACAGGCAGCACTTCAGGAAACACGGGAGCTGTTTCACTGCCTCGGAAGCCGTGGATTGGCTCCATGAGGTGCTCAGGAATAACAGCAACTTCGGTCCCGAGGTGACCAGGCAGCAAACGTTGCAGTTACTGAGGAAATTCCTCAAGAACCACGTCATTGAGGATATAAAAGGGAGGTGGGGAGCTGAAAACCTGGAAGACAACGGTGCCCTGTACAGGTATTGAGATTAAAACTATTTAATGGCTCTTCAGGTTAAGAATTTGATTTTAAAATACTCAGATTTGGGCTGAGCAGTTGGGCCAAAAACTTAATTATTAGAATCGTTTCGCTCATCTCAGTGTTTTACTTTGCTCTGATTCTCAGTATAGACCATACATCCTGTCTTCTTAGGGTTGTTTCCATGCTCTTGTCTATCCAAGCCTTTCATTGGAATACATTCTGCACTCCAGTGCTGTGACGGGGAGCCAAGGAATGGTTTGTAGTAGCTCCCTGAAGTGCTTTAGACAGAAAGTCTAAATGGGAAATGGAGCCAAACAGCTTGAAAATGACAGGTCCTTACTTTTCACATTCTAGGCTCAGTGCTCTGTAAATATCTGAGCATCTTCAGCTTGACTTTGGCATCAAGAAAAATAGCCCAAAGTTAACTTATCATATGATAAAGAAAAAAAAAAAAATCAGTGTTTCCCTTATTATTTTCCTGAATCTCTTCAGAACCTTACAGAGTCAGACTGGTACAGAGTCACAGGATATCGTTTTGCTTAAGTACTTATTTTATTTCTAGTCTATTCTGAATGTATTTCACTCATCTCTCCCACCCATTACAGATTTCCTTCAACATCTCCAGTTAAACCTCTACCAAGCCCACCAAGAGAGAACTTGGAAAACTTCCCTGCAGACAAAGAAAAACTTTTTAAGTTGCCCCATTTATCCAAGAGGACTTTGAAAAAACACGAGTTACTGCAGTCCCTGGTAATAATTTCTGTTTCTTTCATAATTGCAGTTGTCTTGTATTGTCTTCATTTAAAAAACAAAAACAAAAAACAAACAAACAAAAACTAAGAAAACAACCACCAAAAAAAAAAAACCACATAAAACTAGAGTCCATCACCTTTTAGCGTCACTGTTCTGTTGTGGCATCTCCCCTTTCAGCTTGAGAAGTAATTTGGTAGTTAAGAAATTAAGAAGTATTAAGAAATAAATTAGGATAGGAGGATTTTTGTTTTCTTCTGGAAGTATTGGGAGGGACAGATAAAAGACACATTATTTAACTGGTCAGCTTTTTGGAAAAGATTGAATGTGTGTCCCTTTATTCATTTGGAATTTGTGTATGTGCATAAATTATGAATTTAGATTCCCATCCTAAAGGAGGATATTCATTTATAAATATGTTTGGATGTGAGATGTTTCTACCTTTTAAATTGCTGGTTTTGGGATTGATCTTTTGCTTCTTAGTTGTGTGTGCTTACGTTTCAGTGCTAAAGCTGAAATACCATGTGGAATTTATTGTTCCACAGAATTCCCTATACTTCTGCTTCCAATTTTTACTTGAGTTTGAATTATCTTGAGTCCTGCTTATCTTACATTATAAGCCTCTCATTTTCAGGAAAACCTAGAAAAAGCAAAGCCTGATGTGATAAAAGAAAACAAGGAAGACACACTACAGAATAAGGAAATAAGCCAGCAATATGTGCAAGAAACTTGGAGAAATATCATTCTGATACAGTAAGTAATAAATTAAAAACAGCACCTTCTCATATGAGTGCTTTGGGTGTGAAATAGCCCATCAACCTTTTAAGTTGAAGATTTTTACTGACTGTTCTCTACATAAGCTTCCTAATGTGTTTATTAACATTGGATTGTTGCATTTAAGGAATTCTTGATTATTTGCTGTTGCTGAAGTATATTTGAGCACCATAGATGCTCTTCCTTACAGATTGTTGCTGTTTGTACCAGAGAAAAGCGTGTCCTCAAATTGTTCTCCTGAAAGTGAGAATTTATTAAACAGCAGATGAGCTTATTAAGCAGCTGGTTTCGAATAGATAGGGAAAGAACTGGTTTTTCCTTCATCACTACAATCCTTGTAGACACCTTCTGCTCTTGCTCCCCACAGTTTGCAGACCATTCTGGGCCTCCCATCGCTGGAGGAGGTTCTGCAGCCAGCACAGGTGGTCCCTGAGCACGTCATGTACAACATGAGCAACACCAGCAAACACGGGGTGGTGATTCTGCAGAACAAGTCAGGTGAGATTGATTTCCCTGGTTTTGCATAAAGATTCTATGTGGTGTAATTACAACAGTAATTAATATATTTCACGGTCTGTCTTTCACACTTTTTTCCCACTCAGTTTTCCCAACTGAATACAGTTCAGTATATTTGTCTAGAAGATTTGTATATATATTGCATTCATTCTTTATAGAACGAGATAGTCACAGAATCCTGGAATGGTTTGGGTTAAGAGGAACTTAAAAGCTCATCCAGTCCCACCCCCTGCCACAGAAGGGACACCTTCCACTATCCCAGGTTGCTCTAAGCCCCATCCAACCTGGCCTTGGACACTTTCAGGGATGGGGCAACCATAGCTTTTTGGGGCAGCCTGGGCCAGGGCCTCACCACCCTCACAGCCAAGAATTTCTTCCTGATATTTAATCTAACCCTGCCTTCCTTCAACTTAAAGCCATTCCCCCTTGTCCTGTCAAAATTACATGTGTAGCAGTATTTAAAATTATTTTAAAATTTGATCTTTTGTATTTGAGGTGTTATTTAATATGTGTGCCATTGTTTGTATTAGTCATTAAGTCTTTGGGCTTATGTCCTTGTTTGTTTATATTTTAGAAGACCTCCCTCACTGGGTGCTGTCAGCTATGAAGTGTCTCGCATACTGTAAGTCACTGAAGAGCTGTTAAGTTATGGAAACTTATTTTGAGTATTGAAAGTAAATATTCATTATTATTTGTTTTATAATGCAATTGTGAATTTTTTGTGTGTGAATTTTCTTTCTTCACCTCTTTTCAGGGCCCAGAAACAATGACATGAGCCAAGCAACTTACAGTGGGTTTGAACGGGACGTGTTCAGAACAGTTGCTGATTATTTTCTCAGTCTCCCTGAGCCATTACTTACTTTTGAATACTATGAACTTTTTGTTAATGTTTTAGGTATGTATGAATTTAGAAAGGATCAGTGAAACTGTAAGTTCATATCAGCTGGGGAACGAATCTGTAAATCAAAGCAGACCTTGGTCCCTAATCTGTGTGGCAGCTTTAATCTGAGGAGGATCATCACTGCTCTCACTCTGTATTACAGGATTAATTGAGATGTAGTTTTGTCTTGTGATTTCCTATTTAAATTGCTGTCTGAGCTCACATTCTAAATATTCAGTAACTTAAAAATACAGCTCATTCTGTCTGTCCTCAGTACTGCAGTGTGTTACCTTTCTTATTCTTGCATGTTGTTTGCAATTATCTTGTTAAGTTGCTTTTGGACTGAGCTAAATTCTTCTTAGGTTTTACTAACAGTCAACTGTAAATTAATATCTTCCCTTTGTTGTCTTCTCTGCTCAGGTAGCAGCTTTCAGAACTGGTTCATTTTCATACCACTTGCATCTTAACTTCTATTTCATTTTCTGATAGTTATGTGTGGCTACATCACAATTCCAGATCTGTGCAGTGGAAAACGTTCTGTCCAAGATGAGAAATGTGACCTACAGCCTTCAAAAACTCTTCACTTGAACTCTTTCAAGTCAACTGAGTGTCTTCTCCTAAGCCTTATCCGCAGAGAGCCTGACAAGAAAAAGAAAAATGAAGCTTCCAGAAGGTTTTCTTCGGAAGAGCCGACTGTCCAAAACCAGTACACTAAGACATGGCAGCAATATAAACTGAGACAGCAGCAAGGCAGTGCTGGCAATCTGATAGGAGGAAGCTGCCAGAATCTTTCAGGTGTCAGGAAGGAACAAGATCCACCTGGATCCTTTAGGACAAGGTGTTACTCCTTGGAAAGAATCGGAGCTGCTCCTTCAAGTGTGTGTGGTAAAGGAGGATGTGATTCCCTCAGGGAAGGTGGTGAGAACACCATCACAAGAAATGGAAACCAGTCACTGCTTTGTGAGCACAAAGCTAATTCTGTGTTGGAGCTGGGCTGTGATAACATCTGTCAAACACAAACCCAGGGCAACAAGAGATTATCTGCCTCAGCTCTGCAGGGTGAGCTGTTGGATGGCGCTCACGGGTCCAAGCAGATGTGCCGCTCTCTGAGTTCACTGGGCAAGAGGAACTGCAGAAGCTGCACAGCCATTAACAGACCAGTTGCTGAAATCGTAGTAAAGCCAAGGGCTCAGCTTTGGGGGCAAGGAAAAACAAATCCCTCTGGGGTGGCTGCTTCAGTGGACGTCAGGACTGAGGATTCCGAAATCACCATCGAAAAGAGACTCTGCAGAAGCAGCACAGAACTCTCAGAAAGCTCTTTCACCCCCTCCCCTTATGTGTTGACTGGCACGCAAAGTAAGATGGCTTTCTGCAGCATGTTGTACCGCTTGTTGTATGGCCTGACTAATCTCTGCTTCCTCCACCTCTGGCACTGTTGCTAGGTTTGTTGAAATGCATAGAACATGAATTTGTGGTTTGGTTTTTTTGTAGTAAGAATTGATGTGTCAGTAAGTACCTTTCCGCTCAGGTAAGTGATAAGAGATTCTGCCCCAGACACTGAGAGTGAGAATCAGCACAGACCTCTCTGTTGGAGATGATGGATTTTTATGGTCTTTGAATAACATTTTCTGGGAATAACATTAGTGAAATTCTTTAATTGTATTACGGTCTTAAGTTCCCCAGCAGTTTATCCTGATGAAGCAAGTTGAAGATGACCACACCAACAAAGGTCCTTACCTTACCAGCAGATTTCTCTGAAACATTGATAATCATCTTGGTAAAATAAGAAATTTCTGGTACTGTTGTAAAAATACCCTGAGAGTTGATTCAAATCTTAATGCCAGCTGTCTTTGCAATTGCGTTGCAGATCTCCTGCAGCCTCACTTGGAAAGGATTGCTGTGGAAGCTCTACAGATCTGCTGTTTGCTGCTTCCACCCCCAAACCGTAGGAGGCTCCAGCTTCTGATGCGGATGATCACTCGAATCAGTGGGAATGTTGACATGCCACGGCTGCACGATGCCATGGGCAACAGGTCCTTGGTAAGAAAGCCACAAGGGCAGTATGCCTGTTGTAAGAATATTGCTGAATTAATGCTCAGAATCACTACTTAAAGCAGGGAGACAAGAACCTCAAGTTTAGCATGCTGCAAGTGCTAGCAGGCAGGCTTTTCATCTCCAGAATACACACAAAAATCTGACTTGAACAAGTACTTTCTTGTCTCTATCTAAGAGATCTTAAATGTTCACGTTGCTGTTGTTTATGTTGGTGGAGAAATCACTTCTGAAAGCAATTCTTTAGTCTGATTTCTTATCCAAGTGCCATTTAGAATTACAGTATCAAAGAGAAGCTGTGTCTGCCCCATCCTTGGAAGTGTCCAGGGCCAGGTTGGATGGGGCTTGGAGCAACCTGCTCTAGTGGAAGGTGTCCCTGCCCATGGCAAGGGGTGGGATTGGATGGGCTTTGAGGTCCCTCCCAACCCAAACCAGTCTCTATGATTCTATTCTGAGATTCTGGGAAGATGTACATTTTTCTATAGGTTTCAATAGGTTCTTTATAATATGTATTTCTTAATTGAAAGTGCCATTCAGTTCAAGAAAAGTAGAAGTCTTAGGTTATGAGAAGTTATTTTAAAAACCCTATAATCAATTTCCTTCCTTGCTTGACCAGTGGTGCAGGCAAGAAAAATTTCAGTGAAAATTGGTGTGAAGAATTTATTGTGCCACTGTGTAGAGCGGAGAGAAAGCAAATAAATCCACAACTGTGTGTACTTACTGATGTACTGACTCTCCCAGCTGATCCAGACGTTTTCCCGCTGTGTGCTGCGCTGTGCAGAGGAAGTGGACCTGGATGAGCTGCTTTCTACACGACTGGTTTCATTTCTGATGGACCATCAGCAGGAAATATTCCAGGTCCCAATTCACCTGCAGGCTGCTGTGCGAGACCACCTTGAATACGTGCGGGTGGCTCAGGTTGGTGGTACTAGGGCAGTTTAAATTCATTTGCTCGTTGTTCTGAAGGTGGGATGGGAAAGTGCAAATAAAAGCAGTATGGTTTCAGTGTATAGATATTAATTATAATGTTTTGCAGCTGTGCTGCTACTGTAAATTAATGGGTGTGGATGTTTGTGAGTTCTTACTGAAATAGCACAGAATCAGCTGAGTATTTACAGACCCCTTTTTCTTCCAGTGCAAATGTCCCAAGGAAGAAATTTGTGCCGTATTGCCAACATATTCATACTGCAGACAAATCACCCCTCAGGAGTTCGAGGAACAAAAGGTTTCTACCTCTCAAGCTGCAGTGGCAGAGCTCTTGGAGAACATTATCAAGGATAAAAATTTGTCTGTGAAAGACAAAAAGAAAAAGTTAAAACAGGTGAGGAACTTTCACCTGCTTCTGAAATGCCTTTGTGAGGGAAGGGCTCAGTCAACAGAGCCTGGTACAGAAGAGGGGGAAAGCAGAGTATTTAATGAGAAATACATGCACAGAAGAGCTGTTGGATGTTTTGTGTGCTCTGGTTGGGATTTTAAGGACAGGGTCTAATACTGGGGGAATGGCTTTCCACTGCCAGAGGGCAGGGATAGATGGGATATTGGGAAGGAATTCTTTGCTGTGAGGGGGGTGAGGCCCTGGCACAGGTTGCCCGGAGAAGTTGTGACTGCCCCATCCCTGGAAGTGTCCAAGGCCAGTTTGAACAGGGCTTGGAGCAACCTGGGAGAGTGGAAGGTGTCCCTGCCCATGGCAGGGGGTGGAACGAGGTGAGCTTTAAAGTCCTTCCCAACCCTAACCTTCCATGATAATATACAGCATTTGACACTGGCCGTAGGGGTGTTCAAATAATAGCTTAAAACTAGTATAAAGTTACTCTGAGATCCTGCTCTCCATTAAATAATACCTGACGGAATTACAGCCTAGTTTCCTCTAGTGCACTGGCCATCAAGTCACCATTAATATACCATAGGTGGGCTTAAAACCAATAGTTGTTAAAAACAGTAATTTTTTGCCTTAAGAGGCCAACCTCTTTATCTGTTCACAATCCTGAATCGTTCTTTTTGTGGCCTTGGCTTTGTGTTTTGTAACATTTATATTCCTCAAGATTATCTTGCACTTCTCTGGTCTACTAATATCTTGCTTAATACTAAAGCTAAAACACAGCAGTTCTGGCAGGATTTAATCCTGGAGGGGTTTTTATTTTGCGGAAAAACCTTTGGCAAGTTCTTCTGCCCAATGGAATAGCTTTGTACTTGTCCTGAAATCTCCTAAGCAAATCTTGTGACTCAAGTTTGAACAAGCAGCTTTTCAGAGCAGGAACTCTTTGGTGCCCCTCCTCCAGCTCCTGCCACACTGACTTTCATGTGTGTTGTGGAAACTTGCTGGGCCTGTAAAAGGGAGGCTGGACTTTGGTTCAAGACCATTACAACTTCCTGCATTTCAAACTTGAAATAAGTGAGCACTAAGATGTGATTCACAGCAACAAGTGAAAGAGGAGGAAGGAAATAAACTAAAATCTTCTAATAGTAAAACTTAAAAGTAGGTTGTTAACTTTTTGATGAGTTCTCACAAAGTCCAGAAGCAGCTTGTTCTGTGAGGGCCACAGGTGAGCAAAGCTGAGTTTTAAATTTCACAGAGCCATATCATTATAGTCCTGCCATTTGAGCTGGGATAGCCATGGTGTGATAAATCACAACTTTTGCAGTGATTGTTCAGCTTTGGGTACTTGGGGTAGGTTGAATCCAGCAGTGGAGAGGTTTGGCTGATGTTCAGGTTTATTAGCTGTATAGATTATTTACAGTTAGTCATCTCTTCCCAAGGCCTGGCATGAGGAACAGGCCAAATGTCACAAACACGTCTCTGATTCCAGGTATTTTCCTTTAGTTGTGTATCTGCAGGAATTGAAATGAGATGGAATCAGAGTGGTAAGGTTTTCTGGGAGAACCTCTCCAGAGCAGGTGAATCTTGGCTCCCACTTGGGTAAAACAGACTTTTTTAGCTGGAGTTTTTTGATGGAGTGTGGGATTTTATTGTGATTGCTGCTTATGTGTGCTCAGTTCCAGAGGGAATACCCCCAGATCTACCAGAACAGGTTCCCAACGACAGAGAGCGAAGCGATGCTGCTGGAGAACAAACCCACCATCAAGCAGCCCATGCTCAGCCTGAGGAAGCCCAGGTTTCGGAGCCTGAGGTATTAATGTTACCAAACTTGAGCCATTTATCTCCTGGACGGGAATCTGAATGATTCACCAGAGGAATTGCTGCAGGAATTTGATTCTGGCTCTGTGGAGAAGGAAGAAATGTTTACATGGACACTGTGCTGAAAGGTGCCAAAATACCCTTTTTTTAATGCAGATATTTTTTAATAACTTTTAAGAGAGAAATATTTATCTGTTTACAAATTATTACAATATAGTGTGTGTAGGAAAATGTGAAGATAAGCATGAAGCTGTTGTTAACCAAAAATTTATATATGGTTTTCTATGAGAAACTAATGACCTGCCTCTTGTAACCTTTTATGTCTGGTCAGGAATTTGTGCCATTTATTGTAGTTTGTGTAGGTTTTAATGTCTGTGTATTGTGACTAAGTGCCTTCTCTATTCTCAAAATATTTGTCTTTAAACAAAAGAAGTTCTGTGAGTTCAGGACCAGGAGAGCCAGAAGTTCACCATGAATTATCTGCCTCCCTAAAATGCTTGTGTTTATCTCATCTGTAAAACTCCCATCAGCTTTTATATATTTATTTATATTAAAAGTCGTTAAGTATATTTCTGACATTTTTATGGAAAATTTATTTTGGATCTGTTGGTGTGATTCTTAAAATAGGAATGATGGATGATATATGAAGTTGGAAAATGGAACCAGAAAACACTAAATTTCCCTATTTCCAGAGTTAGGGATTTGATATTAATTCTGGTAAGACCAAGGCTCCCCCACAGGAATATTTCTGGGAGGGAATAATTAATAATAATTAATTAATCTGCTGCATGGCTTTGAGATCCCAGACTAGTTTGGGTTGGGAGGGACCTTAAAACCCATCTCATTCTGCCTTCCAGCAGACCAGGTTGCTCTTTCCAGGGATAGAGCAGCCACACCTGCTCTGGGAAACATCTGGAACCAGATGTTTTGGAAGGATGGGTGCTTTCCTTGGTGTGTTTGGCCGGTATGTGGTTCAGGTACCGCACCCAGTTTGCAGCTGGAGGCTCATCCCTGATGCTCTGTCATGTCTTGCCCCTTTCTAGGACAAGAATCTGAATTGTCCTTGTGCCTGCATGTGCAGAATTACAGTCATTGCCAAAAAAACACTTACCAAAATAAAGTAAATCTTAATTTTTCATCTTTTTACCTGCTTTGGGTTTGTTTGGGTGTTTTGGTGTCTCGTGGGGAGGCTCTGTGCAAGGTCCCAGGCTCAGTCAGACACTTATTCTAGATGAGGGTCTTGGTTGAGGATTGTCACTTTTACGTTTGTGACCATGAGGCTGGGCTTCAGTTTTTTCCCCAAATTTATCCTTTTGCTCTTTTTTTTTTGAAGGTTTTGTGAGAAACCCAAATTAGCCCTATTTAACCTGTTTTAATGATGCTTCAATGTCCTGTAGATAAGTTTCCACTTGGAGGGCAGGTGCAAGATGTTTTTCCCTTGTAACACCTGTGGTCAAGTCCTTTTAACACTCCAGTATCTGCCTGAACTTGATTCCAACACTTCCCAACCTTTTCCCTGTTGTGTAAATGCTTTGTTTATGTGTTCCAGTTAAGTAACTGATTAGGTGAGAAGCTCACATTTTCCAGGATTTGGCTTTTAAAGGCCTGCCCTCATTTTTCCCAGTTCTTGATCCAGGTTATTTAATGTTCCCTTCTAAGGTTTTGACAGAGCTTAACAAAAATGGGAATAAATGGACAAACTGACTCACTGCGGGACAATAAAACATTACAAATCAATGACAAAAATTCCATATATGGAACTTAAGGCTACTCACACCTTCCTTTTTACAGCCTTGGAGTATTTTAATCCACTTGAAACAGACAGAGGTCAATAACTGTTCCTTCCTTTTCCTGCAGGAAAAAGCAGGAGTTGCTGGTGCTTGTGCCTCAGAGCACATTTTTTGCTAATTAGCACCAATAACTCCTTTTTAATGGTATTAATTGCAAGGAAGAGCAGTTCTGTAATGAGTTTGTAGGTTATCTGCTGTCCTGTGCTGTTCTGGTGTTGGTGTCACACCAGAGGAAACACCTGGTCAGGTACCATTCAGGAGGAGAACTTTGGCTGCTGGTGTGTGGGGCCAAAGATGTTTTGGGATCTCTGCCTGGAGGAGGACAGGGCCTGGGAAGATGCTATCACCATGAAAACATGGAATTTTCATGGCATCAAACATTAAGATGCAGTTTTGAGTCCTTCTCCTGGAATTAATTAAAAATCTCCACATGACTTGGAATGCTGAGAGGCCTTGAGTTTGCACTCAAGTTTATATTGAGTTTATTTATTGCCAGGAGACTGCCACTGAGAAATTACCATATAATTATGGTTATTAATCCAAAGAGTTAATGGGAGGCCTCAGTCACAGCTCATGAAGGCTCAACGCCTTCAGTGAGAAGCCTTAAATGAACCCTCAATCCAAATGGGAACACTCTGCCTTGAAAACAGGGAGCAAACAAACAAAACCAGGGAAGGAAGCCAAGCTTCACGTGATGATTGTGGCAGCAGATCAAACAGAGGGATGTTTAAAGTCTATTTTTTTCCTTTCACCCTAGCTTTGATCACTGTTTCCATCTATTATGGGAGGAGCACCCAAATATACATGGTATTATGGAACATCATCTTCTGCCATGAACTGCCTATGAGGGGACAGCACTAAACTCTGATTTCATTAATCTTTGAAATCACTCTTCACAGCACTGTTGTTTTCATAAATGTTGACTCTTGCTACAGGTGGTTCCTGATGATGAGCCTGGAGAAGGAGATGGAGGGAGACCTCTGGGTCTGCAGCTCCTCCTGAGGGGCAGCTCCGATCTCTGCTCTGGTGATGAAGGACAGGACCAGGGAACGGCCGGAGCTATGCCAGGAGATATATAGTCTGGATATCACAAAAAGGTTCTTTCCCAGAGGGTGGTCAAGCACTGAACAGGCTCCCCAGGGCAGTGGTCACAGCCCCAAGGCTGCCAGAGCTCAAGCAGCATTTGGACAATGCTCTCAGGGATGGGGGGATTGTTGGGGTGTCCTGCACAGAGCCACGAGTTGGACTCTAATTTGTGTGGGATCCTTCTGACTCAGATTATTCCAGGATGTTTGACACTGGCATCTCCTTATCTCTGTGTGTCTCAATGTCCTGTCACTCCAAGGTGAGGCTCTGGAAGAGCCGTTCCCTGCTGCCCTGGGTCAGTGTTGGATCCAGGCATGTCTCCTGTGCCCTGTGGTGCCAGAGCAGGACCCAGTGCTGGTGCCAACACCTGGCATGGCTCCAGCACGCTCCGTTTCACTCCTTGGGATTTTTTTCTTTGTAATCACTTCTGCTTGTGAAGAATTTAGGTCTCAGAAAAGCAGTCAAAGCCCTTTTTTGTGTGGAGGGCAGGACAAAAGCTCCCAAACTCGGGAGGATTTGGGTGGTGAAAGCCGGCTCTGTTCCCAGGGGGCTCTCACTGGCAGGGGCTTCCCTGGGCAGGGCGGGCTCAGCAACCCATAAATACCCTGCACACGGCTCTGCTCTGAGCTTGGCTGCTAGAGGCTCAGGCCCTTCATCAGGGAGAGGATGTACAGCCAGTGAGTATTCCTGAAGCTTCTCTCTATGGGAGAGGGTCATGGATCACCATCTTGGTGGAGCATTGGCTGGGGCAGCTGTAAGGCTGGGGATCAGCATGGTTTGGGGGCAGGAGGAGGAGGAAGGTCTCCGTGTGTCAGTGTTCATGCTGGTACTTCCTGTTCCAAGGTGTTGTTCTGGTCCAGGAGGACAGGCTCATCTCCAGGTTCCAGGGGATAGTCCAGAATTTGGAGTCATAGAATCCCAAATGGGTTTGGGTTGAAGGGACTTTAAATCCTATCTCGTTCCACTCCCTTTCCACTAGACCAGGTTGCTGCAAGCCCTGTCCCACCTGGCCTTGGACACTTCTAGGGATGGGACAGTCACAGCTGCTCTGGGCAGAGCACACTGGTCTGTCTGCTATGTCTTCATGGGCTTTGCAGTGATAAAATTGGAACCCAACAATTAATTCTTTGCATAAAGAAAGGAAAAAGGCAAAAAAAAAATGCCTCTCCAAGACCTGAGAGATAGAAGCTGGATTCTGCTTCCTAATGATCTGGACTATCCTGGATTTATCAGTGGATGGGGGTGTTTGCTGCAGGGCTGTGGTGTGGGCTTTTCCCTTGGTGTTCCCTCTCCCTCCACACACTCAGCCTTTTCCCCCATGAAGTTCTCGTGCTTCTCCCTCCTCATGCTTCAAGTTCTTTGCAAGTCATGGCTCAGTCCGTCCAGAAGAACTGCCCCTCCCTGGGAGGGGGTTCCCAGCACTGCCCACCTCATGCTAACCCAGCTTTGCCCTTCCAGAGTGGAGCATCCAGCCGGGGGCTACAAGAAGCTCTTTGAGACGGTGGAGGAACTGTCCTCTCCAGTGACCACCCATGTCACAGGTTGGTCTGGTCCCTGATCTCCTGCCTGGCTTTGTTCTCAGGGCTCAGGGGCCTCCAGTGCTCAGGGACTTTACAAGGGCTGGAGGTAAAGGACCTCACAGGGCTGGGGATCTGGGGTGGAGGAAGGAGAGACTGGGTGGGAGAACCTTTAGATATTTCAGTGCTGAATATCTTGGTCTACATCAGGTGTGGTGGAGAATAAAACTGAGTTTAAAGACCTTATGGGTGTTTAAATAAGAAGTTGCATAAGCTTTAAAAAAAATAAGTTTGAAGTTTTGTTCTTTTTGTTGTTACCATAAAAATTCCTCGATCTGATTTGCCGTGTGCATCCCAACGCTGCCTCTCCCACAGGCCGGATTCCTACCTGGCTGCGAGGAAGCCTCCTGAGGTGTGGTCCTGGCTTGTTCGAGGTGGGCTCGGAGCCCTATTACCACCTCTTCGATGGCCAGGCATTGCTCCACAAGTTTGACTTCAAGGAGGGGCATGTCACCTACCACAGAAGGTACATGGCGGTTTTCCAAGGAACCATTAGATCAGGAAGCATTTGCTTGACTGTGAGTGTTGGGGACAGGCTCTGGAAGGCACCAGTTATTTTTAGTCCATGAGATTATTGGAAGAGCTTGATCAATGATATCATTAAACAGCTCCAGGTGCAACATGAGGCTGTGGGGACCCAGGGCTCTCATAAGCTTTATCACAGGAATATTCATATTTATTTGTATTTATTCATATTTAACTGCACAGCCTGTTGTGGTTTTACATGTAAGGGGATTTCTCCTCCTCACTCTCCCAGGTTTATCAGGACTGATTGTTATGTGCGAGCAATGACGGAGAAAAGGATTGTTATAACGGAGTTCGGCACCTACGCGTACCCAGACCCCTGCAAGAACATCTTCTCCAGGTACTGGGGTCCTGCAGCTGCTGCAGCCATGTCCCACAGAACTCCTGCTTCCCAGAGGCCCTGACTGCCTGTCCATTCTCTCTGCTCAGGTTCTTCTCCTACTTCAAAGGTGTGGAGGTCACGGACAACGCCCTGGTTAACGTCTACCCTGTGGGTGAGGATTACTATGCCTGCACTGAGACCAACTTCATAACCAGGATTAACCCAGACACCTTGGAGACAATTAAGCAGGTGGGTTTTTGTCCTGGGATGGAAAAGTTACGGAGCAGTAAAACTAAAATGAAAATCATGTAATCACATACTGGTTTCGGTTGGCAGGGACCTTAAAGCTCATTTCATTCCACCCCCTGCCATGGGCAGGGGACACCTTCCACTATCCCAGGTGGTCCTGTCCAACCAGGCCTTGGACCCTTCCAGGGGTGGGGCAGCCACAGCTTCTGTGGGCAACCTGTGCCAGGGCCTCCCCACTCTCACAGCCCAGAATTCCTTCCCAATATCCCATCTAATCCTGACCTCTGGCAGTGGGAAGCCATTCCCTGTGTCCTGTCCCTCCAGGCCCTTGTCCCAAGTCCCTCTCCAGCTCTCTTGGAGCCCCTTTAGGCTTGGGAAGGGGCTCTAAGGTCTCCCTGGAGACTTCTCCAGGTGAACACCCCCAGCTCTCCCAGCCTGTCTCCAGAGCAGAAAAGCTCCAGCCCTTGGATCTCCAGCTCTGTTTTCGTGCTTGGGTTGGAGTTTGCAAATTGGAACTTGATTGCAGCCTTAGAAAAGAACTTCTCACATCCAATGCAAAGATATATTGAGTCACGACACCTTGCAGAGCCAGTGACTCCTCATCTCCTCCCAAGAAAGCTCCTGATTGTCTCCGTTTTATTCTCCAGGTGGATCTCTGTAAATACGTGTCCATTAACGGGGTAACGGCTCATCCCCACATTGAGGACGATGGGACAGTTTACAACATTGGGAATTGCTTTGGAAAAAACTTTGCCCTCGCCTACAACATCATCCGGATTCCTCCACTGCAGGCAGGTCAGTCAATCCTGCCTCTGAGCCACGTGGGAAAATCTTAGAAATCATTTCTTCATCCTTTAAATGAGTCTTGCCATTGAGGTTTGATTTTTTTCAAGCTTCTTTAGATTTTATTTGCTTTTTAATTGCTGTATTTAAAACACTTCCAAGTGGTTTCTAAACCATGAATTTCCTTTGTGTTAAAGGCAGACATTTGCTAGGTAAACGTCTACAGACTATGTTAACCCCTCCTTGTCTGTCCCATTCCAGACAAGGAGGACCCGATGAACAAGTCACAGGTGGTGGTGCAGTTCCCCTGCAGTGACAGGTTTAAGCCATCCTACGTCCACAGGTAACATTCCATGGGGTCAACAGGTCAGCTGGAAGCAGGGACTTGTCCTCACATATAATCAGCAACAAAAACTAGGTTGTTTACCAAAATCAGGGTAATTTTAAGGGATGATCCATGTGATAAGATGAAGCACTACGTGGTTGTTGTCCAAACTAAGCCGGTGAGCCTGATCTGATATACCCCCCTGCATTTCTAAACAGCTTTGGGCTGACCTCAAACTACATCGTGTTTGTGGAAACACCAGTGAAAATCAACCTCCTCAAGTTCCTCTCCTCCTGGAGCCTCTGGGGAGCCAACTACATGGACTGCTTCGAGTCCAATGAAACCATGGGGGTAAGCAGAGGGTCATCCCCAAATGGGTCTGGGCAGCCAGACCCACACTGGGAGGTCCATGGTATTGGTTTCACCTTCATTTCCCTGAGCCTAAGCCAGGCTGCTGGTTGGTTCTCAGGTGTGGATCCACGTGGCCGAGAAGAAGAAGGGCCGGCTCCTCAACATCAAGTACCGCACCTCGGCCTTCAACCTCTTCCACCACATTAACACCTACGAGGACAACGGGTTCCTCATCGTCGACCTCTGCACATGGAAGGGGTGAGTCCGAGGGGCCCTGGGCACCACAGCTCCCCCTGAACGAGCTGGGGGGGCCAGTGGAGCCCTGCACCAGTGTTGGAATCACTTCTGGCATTCGGCACCAATCCATCTAAACACTAACACATGGGGACATGCAGACTACACAGCATGAAGATATCCAGAGGTGCAAGGAGCCTATTTGACATTCATTTTCCAAGAAAAAGAAAATTTTATCTTATATTTACTTTAATAAATGTCAATGACTGCTGAAGGCTGATGCTATTCTGGCTGAGGCTGCAGTGAGCAGGGTCTGGGTGAAATTTGAATGCTGCTCTTTATGTAAACACAGAAATGTGGCACTCAAATGGTGAAGCCCAACCCTGTGTTGACTGTGTACTCAGGACACTCTTGAGTTGAGCTGATCCTGGCATAGAATCGTAGGAGTGGTTTGGGCTGGGAGGGACCTTAAAGCTCATCTTGTTCCACCCCCTGCCATGGGCAAGGACACCTTCCACTATCCCAGGTTGCTCCCACCCCATCCTGTGCTTGTGCTGAGCACCAGCATTTGCTGGTTTTCCTCCCAGGGAACATGGAGCACACACAGCTCAGCTCTGCCAAGGAGCTGGACTGGGACCTGTGTTACTCTGTGTGCCCAGAGAAGCTGTGGCTGCCCCATCCCTGGAAGTGTCCAAGGCCAGGTTGGATGGGGCTTGGAGCAACCTGGTCTAGTGGAAGGTGTCCCTGCCCATGGCAGGGAGTGGAACAGGATGAACTTTAAGGTCCCTTCCAACCCAAACCATTCTATGATTCTACTGAATTTTAGGGAAAAAACATCTGCACTTCAACTCCCACTTGCAAACCCATCTCTGTTTCTCTCTGTGATGCTCTTTCCCTGCAGGTTTGAGTTTATTTACAATTACCTGTACTTGGCCAACCTCCGGGCAAACTGGGACGAGGTGAAGCGCCACGCAGAGAAGGCCCCGCAGCCCGAGGCCCGCAGATATGTCCTACCCCTCAACATCGACAAGGTACCCACTCGGGGCCAGCACAGGGCTCTGCCTGGTTCAAATTCAACATTTTCATGAGAAGAGGAAACTTAAAGGAGAGGTCCTTAGAGAAACTTTATTTTTGCTTTAGCTCATCAGGGTTATTCTGGTTTATTTCCCATACAACTGCTGAGAGTGGTTGTGGCTGCCCCATCCCTGCAAGTATTCAAGTCCAGTTTGGATGGAGCTTGGAGCAACTTGGGATAGTGGAAGGTGTCCCTGCCTATGGCAGCGGGTGGAATGAGATGGGCTTTGAGGTCCCTCCTAAACCAAACCCTTTGATGATTCCGTATGTTTCTGTTCAGCACAGAAGCTGTGGGGCAGAAGTTAATCCTGGAAGGTACTGCTCCTGGGAGGGGAGAAGGGGGCAGCCGCAGCCCAAGCGTGTGTGGTTCAATCCTCTAGCCCTCAGTGTGAGGTCCCTGGAGCTGCCAGCCTGGCACAGAGCTTGCTGGCTGGCAGCTGCTGGGTTCCTTTCCAGCTCTCGTGGTCCCTGGTGGGTGGGCCAGGGCCTGTCAGGGCTGTGCTCAGCCGAGCTGCCCATGGAGCTCAGTGAGCTGCGGATTGAGTGAGAAGTGCAAGCCCACGTGGCAGTGCTTAATGAAAACCTCTGAATGCCCCAAGGAGGGGAAAAAAGTTGTGTTTACGAGCACAGTAATGGCTGAGGAGCAGGACAGTTCTGCACCACTGCCAAGAACACGGCAGCAGTCGCCTCCCTGCAGCTCCCGAGGCTCTGCTGTGTGCTGCCGCCTTCCCTGGACCATGTTTGCAACAAATCTGTGCAAAGACACTCAGAAATGCGTTCCTCCAATCTCTTGGGTGTTTCTCTTTGTGCCAGGCTGACACAGGGAAGAACCTGGTCACCCTGCCCTACACGACAGCCACAGCGACACTGCGCAGCGACGAGACCATCTGGCTGGAGCCTGAAGTGATTTTCTCAGGGCCGCGTCACGGTACAAATGAGACCCCAAATCCCAACAGCATAAGTACTGCCTACACTCCCTGTCCCACTGATCCTCATGCTTTTATATATTTATTTTTTATTGTAGCCTTTGAGTTCCCACAGATCAACTACAAGAAATACAGTGGGAAGCCATACACATACACGTATGGGCTGGGGCTGAATCACTTTGTCCCAGACAGGGTAACTATCTGGTTAAAATAATGGGTGATGGTTTCAGTTTGGGGACAACAAAGAATATTTCTGAGCTGGGGTTTTTGGTTTTCCCCTCCTTTAGCTTTGCAAGCTGAACGTTAAGACCAAGGAGACCTGGGTGTGGCAGGAGCCGGACTCATACCCATCGGAGCCCATCTTTGTTTCCCATCCGGATGCTCTGGAGGAAGATGATGGTAATGCTCATGGGGTTTGGGTCCATGGCATTGGGAGTGGGAAGGTTTGTGTCAGCTGGCACCAGGCTGGCTACAGGGCTGGGCCAGAGGTGGGCAGGGATATTCCCTTTGTGTTTTCACTGCAGGGGTTGTGCTGAGCATTGTGATCAGCCCAGGCACAGGGCCCAAGCCCGCCTACCTGCTCATCCTCAGCGCCAAGGACATGAGTGAGGTGGCCCGGGCCGAGGTGGAGGTGAACATCCCTGTGACCTTCCACGGGTACTTCAAGAGAGCGTGACCCTGCCAGCCACACCTCACGTAGGTCTGTTCCAGTTCCCAAAGGGGCAGTCTCCATTTACAGCCACCTACAATCCTTCAACATCCCCTTTTGTTTGTGTGGCTGCATCATTCACATTGAGCGCTTCAATTTTGGCCATGATTCTCCAATATGCTTGATCAGGTATTTTTTAAATACAACCTTTGGCATAACTTCTAGTTAAAACACCCCAAGTTTGGTGTAGTGGTGGTTCCATTTTTATAAATTTAATCCTTATAACTGCAGCAGAGTGAAAGATGCCTGAAAGAGCAGAGTGTAACCTCAGTACTTCTACACGTGGTAACATTATATACAACAGTCTCTGCTCTGTTACATGTTTGAGAATTTTTAGCCTATACTGAAGTATTATGGATTTAAATCCCCTCCTGGTCACTGCTTTAGTATCCTCAGAGCAATCCAAGTGGAGCCTTTCCACAGCTGCTTTGAGAATCTGAACTGGGTGGCCCAGAGCTGGTGGCAGATAGTTTTGTTCTTCACTAAGGCTGCAAACTGCACACACTCCCTTGTGTGTTTGCTCTTTCTCCTTTCTTTTGCCAAAGTGCATTTTCTTGATTTCTGTATTTCCTGCTTAAACATGAACATGAAAAAATCAAGCATTTGTTACCCCTTGGGCTGATTTTGCTTCCTTAGAGTGCTACAGATGCTCGGCTTTATCCTTCCTTCTCACAAAATAAACTTTCGGCTGATGTTAAAAGAGGCTCTGGTTGAAAATAAACATTTCCTGCTGATAGACTTAAAATCTGGCCTTCTTGTTTGTCTTCAATTGTTCAACATTTTTATTAATAGTATCAAAGAATTAGAAAATCCTTTACACTAAGAGTTCTGGCAGGTGGTGCTGGCTCTGCAGGGCTGCTGGTTTGAGGGTGGAGATTACATCCTGATGATGGGATAGTGACATGGAGACACGGCCTGGTACTTGTGCTGTTCCATGATGTCCAAGCACTGGGCAATCACCTAATTAAAAACAAAAAACCCAATATAAGCAATGAGTCTTAAACAAACAAAACTATCAGTAAAACTTGCCAGTTCTGCACTTTTTTGTTCTTTCTTTTTGTGAGGCACTGAACATGGTAAAATGAACAGTTCAACTCTCACATATTTTCTTTTCATGTGTAGCTCCCAGAGAAGGGAATTTCAGGACTCTAGGACTCAAAAACACTTCTTGGTGCTCCCCCATTATCAAAATTCCCATTAAACTCCACGAAAAATATTTGAAATCCACATAGTCCCATATATAGAAGGGTTGTGTTGTGGTTTAACCCTAGCTGAAACCAGGACAGATTGAGATCTTCAAGTATTTGCGATTTTCATGTGAACAAACTTCAGAAGTGCAAAGAACATTTTTATTGCTAATGAAGGAAAAATAGAAGAACGAAGGCAGTGGCTTTTAGAAAGAATGGAGGGATGTCTGCCAACTTCAAATAAATACAAAGCCGGGGGGGATCCCAAATGGACACAGCAAATCACAAGCAAGAAGAGAAAGTTGCAAAAAGCAACATCCTAGGACCAAAGAATGGAAACAATGGGAATGGTAAGGAGCCTGAAATTCAGAGTTGAAGATATAGGTGATTACATGGAAAAAAAAAAAAAAAAGAAGATACAGAATCAAAAAATAAAGTCCATGAAAATGCTCAGTGAGGAAATGCTCTAGTCAAGTAACTAGAATTCAACACAAACTTTGTGGATAAATGGGGAAAGGGAAAGGATGAGAATTACAGAGCTAAATTCCACAGTAAAAGGAGTGAGTAGTGGGAGCCCCAGGTCTGGAATCAACATACTGCTGACCTTGAGTGATTCATGGGCTTATACATTCGCTGCAAGATCCTTGTGAGATCTGGAAATAAGATGTACTAAAAGGAAAACCCACCTTTCTAGTGTTTTGAGGTAGAATGATTCCATCATCCCAGAGTCTGGTAGACGAGTAAAATGCACTGCTTTCTTCCTCGAGCCTGGAGAGGACAGAACAGGCTTAAAAGCACGATGAAAACATCAGGGCAGTGAAAAAGTCATAGGTGAAACAGGCAAATAGTTCCATGCAGCACTGCTGTTAAAATGAATCAGAATCCAGAAAATAACAGATCTGACCATTCTGCAGCACAGACCAGCTTGAGAAGATCCTAATAGCCATAAAATTATACAGAAATTTAAAATATTTTTCAGCAGGTTCAGGTTTGCTGTATTAGTTTGAGATGTGTTGCTCTGTAAGATGAACAAAAATAGGCAATAATGTCCTTACTTTGCCTTCAGCTGTTTCAGCTCTGATTCATCTGTACAGTCACTGTCCCCAGCTCGGGGGACTGTGGAGAAACTTCTTGAATCCACAAGAGCAACTCTTGCATTAGGCCACAGGAACAGAAAGTTTGGACTGAACGA